ATTTACATTAGACAAAACGGATACGGCCACGACCACGAACGGTAATTTGTCAAGAGGTAATGCATATTCTGATCGCTCCCATTAATCGTTTTATTAGAGTTTCACCGTTACTATCTTTGTTCACTTAAAATAACGCCTCCTTTTAATTATCCGTGCCAAGTGGACCCTAACTGTACAGATATCGCTTGTGTCCAACACAGTGAAATGATTCACTGGCACTGATTGCGTAGATTTATCATCTTTAAAGAGCATTCGTGATTATAACAGCAGCATTAATAACAATTGCAGAAAAGTAGTTAGCCCACGTCTTCTGCAGAACCAGAGCACACTGGATGGAATTATTTCTTTGTAATTAATTCAAACGCTTTTCTTGTTTTTCAAGGACATGAAGTATTAAACACACTGATTGTATAATATCCATCCAACAGGACTACATAACTATTTAAGGAGACAACATTACACTAGCTGAGCTCATCGAAATTTTGACGGTGATGCTTACCACTTTCATTCTCAATTTTGGCGACATTCCCAATTACTTTATATTTATGCTACAATCATCAAACATCAAAACTTTTCTGGTTTAAATGTAGATATTTAAACCCATCCTCTGAGAGCGTCTCTCACAGTCTCTCAGTTATTGCCTAGGTGTTTTTATGGATTTCTCACAGTCTCTGTATGAGAGACTCGAACGATAAAATTGTTAATCAGAGATTTGAGACTGAATGAATAAAAATCAAAAATTCAGAGACTGGAGTATCTCGTAGAAAGACTGAGATCTCTGAAATATGTTGAATCTGAAGTGGTCTGTATTCTGTCGAAACTGCCTTCGAATTATTCTATTCCATTATGGTAACGTGCCTATCACGTTAAGGTTATCCACGCAGGGATTCGTTTCAGCAAGTAGATATCCATACAAATGGACCTTGTTGGAACATACGTAATCCTAAAATGTAGCATCGTACTACAGATGGCGTTTACCGCGCCATTTGTGGTATTTTCTAAAACGCGCTGTTAAGACAGCAGGTAAAAGTTGGTCTGTGTTCTGTCGGAGCTGTCTGCGTCGCGCTGATGAGATCCACAAAAATCGAAATCGCGATCCGTATCTGGCAGTTTTGACAAAATACAGACCACTTCGAATTATTTTATTCGATTATGGTAACGTGCCTATCACGTTGAGGTTGGCTAAGCCGGATTCGTTTCAGCAAGTAGATATCCATATATTTAAATGGACCTTGTTGGAGCATACGTAATCCTAAACTGAAGCATCGTACTACAGATGGCGTTTACCGCGCCATGTGTGGTATTTTCTAAAACGCGCTGTTAAGACAGCAGGTAAAAGTTGGTCTGTGTTCTGTCGGAGCTGTCTGCGTCGCGCTGATGAGATCCACAAAAATCGAAATCGCGATCCTTATCTGGCAGTTTTGACAGAATACAGACCACTTCGAATTATTTTATTCCATAGGAAAAATAAACAATAATTTTATTTTTGACAAAATTCTATCTATTAAGACTTAGATTATACGAAGGTTATTTCTGACAATGAAAATACGAAATGGACTCGAATAGGCTTTGTTTCTAAATGTGTTTATGGGTAAGCCTTAACGTGGGAATGAAGCAGTAACTTACTACAAAAGTGTCTAATGTTTATCTAATAATATCATCTCCATTTTAGTGTGAGAAAAATAAATTAAACTTATTCTCTTCTGTCATTAGCTTCTGTAGATCGTTAAACGCATTTCTCCTGTTATGAATTGCGGGTAACGGGTATGGCAATTTCGCATTGTAAAGACTGCACGGTCGTACGTCATTTTAAAGTCAAATATCGTTGACGAGAACCTACCGTCAGTTAATGAACGCATTCTAGAGCAGCTTCGAAAAGCGACTAATTATTTTTCAGACTATCAAAGAAATGACCTCTACAATTGGCTGCCTTTTGCATCCTCATTTCAGTTGTTTTGGTAGTAAACATCTGAATACAGTTTACCGGGTTACTTTCCCGTCATCTACCGATCTCATTGTTTAGAGTCTGTATGGGAGCAGTGAAGGAAGAGGTGATAATCGGTTTTTTTAATTGTGAGCGATAATCAAGGTCATTCGCCGACCAATAATAAGTGTGCATATGTACATATATAATCAGGTTCTCTGCTAGTGCCATTTGTTCCAAGTTACTGTCATTATTGGTCGGTATATGAATTACGTGATAGGACAGGCTTGAATAATATTGTAATGTTAACAGGAATTGTTAGTTGTTGCTTGCGGAATTAGAATGGAACTTCAAAAAATTAGTATACAACCGCTCGTGTTGGTCTACTTTTATGTATATATTACCGGAAATGTATACAAAGCGTCATTATATATAATTCCTAGGAAATGTATATAACTTCTAATATCGTCCAAAAATGTCTGAAATAAATTATATTAGACACATTTCCTAGGAAATCTATACGTTTCCTAAATAGCAATCGGAAATATATAACAGGTAATACTAAAAAGGCAATAATACGGGAGGCTGCTTGGAGATATACCTATATCCATTGGTGACATCATTGTTTGGTTAGGGAGACTTATAACAGACTGAAGGTCCATTAATGTTTCTGCCCGCGGGCTGGATATGTTAAATATTAGAATAATGTGACGAGGTTATCTTTGTTTCAGCAAACACGATGACCTTGAATTTTGTAGTATGTTGTAGAGGTGATAATGGTGATCATTTTCATATATATATGTTGAGCACGGAGATTATAATAAAGCATATTTTTCGAAGACTCCAGTCTATCATAAATCTACCTAAGAACCATACAATAACGTCACTAGTGCATATACATCACCAAACCTAACCTAACTAAACAATAACGTCACCAATACATGTACTTCAGGCGATCGCACTAGAACCGCGTAAACACAGACAACTCTGATTCTTAGTTTACTAACGTGTTTTATTAATTTTAATCACAAAAAGCATTAGTTTTATACATTTCCTAGTACAATATCGGAGTTTCATACAATTCCTAGTAAATGTATACATTTCCCATTGTATACAATTCCTAGATTCCATAATAAAATATTTTTTTCTTCTGATTTGTTTTTTTTTTATATCATCTCGAGAAAGAAAAGAATGGGGTCTCAAATGACACAAACTTTACTTTTTAGTAATCAATTAGTGATGCATCATAACATACATGTGCTGTTAAAATTGAAATAATTAGGTACTTAATTATTTTTTTATTAAATTTGTATATTATTATTAAATTTGTTCATTATGCTGTCACATACTACTACCGTGATGAGCCACGTAAATATTATCAGCATCAGCGAATACAGACTAAATATCTGTGTTCGCTGATAATACAATTGTAGTACATAATTAATGCAGCCAGATGGCATGATAAATAACGCAACTGCTCGTCACCCGTAAGCCTGGGATAGTGTCAATGCATCAATGAAATTGTTTCATAAATAACAAAACCGTATAAAACGTACTATGATGACAAAATACATACATTAAATAAACTATTAATCTGTTGATTTACTTCTTACTAAAGTAATTTAATTTAAACCTAAATTTATTTTAAATGTAGTTTTTATTTTTTTCAACTTACATTGGCACTTTGAGGGGGAACATTGAAATAATTGATTGCTTTTAAGTAATTTTAAAAATATTTGAAAATTTCTTTTTAACGTAATTTAAATTTCGTCGTAAGATCACTAAGTTGAGAAAATGAATAATATCTTGATAAGATGTAATTTTTAGGGTTTTTCTTAGTCCGGAATCATTGGTGTGCAATTTTGAATTACACTCGACTAGTTTCTGGTGGTTCACCGTCCGATCATTTATTATTTAACCCATTCCCACCCAACGGGTCGTTTGCGACCCATTTACGAAAAAAAAAGTACTTCGCCGTTTTTCATTTTGCACGGGGTAGTAATGAATTGATTGTGTAAGCTTACCGGTAGCGCTCTGATGTGATTTCAGCACATTTTCCGCCACTGACCAGTAGCAGCACCTAATTGATTTTGAAGATGGCAGACGCGATTTTGCGTTCTCGACATCAGTAGTAAGTAAAAAAGCCAGAAGTGTTAAAATTATGTATTTTATTTGTATCTGTCATAAAACAATATCGGCTGAGTCAGGAAAATCGTTTATATAATTTTTATCATATTTGGTTTGTGATATATTGGTGACAAAAGTTAGGGTGAGTCGCAAACGACCCGTTGGGAACGAATCGCCCAACAATGTGTCGAAAAGTTTTCAGACTTAATTCGTCGCAGGTTGCGGTTTTGTAACACTATCAAACGAACGTTAACTAAAAGGTTTTTAGATAAAATAAAGCAAAAAGTAATCACAATTTTGTTGATTATCGCAACTAAAATATCACGTTTGCCCATATTACAGGCGACAGAAGTTGACAACCGCCGAAATTTTGGCCAACTTGGTACTAATGATATCCTTAGAGCTTAATTAAATGTTGTAATTAGTTCTTTTCTTCTTTACATAAAATGCCATGCCTTAACCATCCCGTTTAACATGTATTTCAATGTGTTGGGATTCTTTTACGACCCATATCATAATTTCAAAAGTGTACGCAAAAGAATGTTTTGAACATTTTTTGGGGAGTATTTTGGCATATATCAACAAGTTCAAAAGACAAAAACAAAAAAATTCGAAAAAACAATTCTTGCGAGGGAATGGGTTAATGCATGACATGACTTTCTACTATTGTTGTAATACATTAAGCAATATTTTTTATTGAACTTGAATGTCCGTGACATTTATTTTAATAATATTGTTCTTATTATCTTCTCACGGACAATTTCGTTATGACTGATGATGGAATTGCACTGAACTGCAATTGTTATTTTCGTAGCATTTTTATTCCAGACTTTGGAACGGCGAACTTTTATTTTCAATTTTGTGTCTCTCACAAAACGAAGGCGTTAAATAAAAGGAAACGAACTTCCTAACAAATACTAGAGAAAAGAAGAATGAAAGCTTTTCTTACCGGTTCTTGTTCGCTCGCAGCTTGTGACAGTGCTTCTCTTGTAATGTTTGACGCGTCGTCAGAATTTTCTTTTGGGAGTAGCGCTGACGGTTCGGTTACTTCGTGACTTACACTAGAACTACTACTAACACTAAATTCTACGCGATGTGTCGTGTCCTCCACGTTCTGCAACCAACAAGGCTAAAACAAAAAAGAAATGGGAATTTACTACAAACAGGATCTGTGCTGACAAGACAAATACAAGTGAAACACATTTCATTAATTTATTATATGAAGCATTTGTTAACTAATTTAATAATAATAATAATTTAACATTTGCTAAAATTTATGGACAACTAACGGGTGTCTCAAAATTCACAAACGATTTGAATTCGACTCCATTTTTGGAGTGTTGCCAACGAAAAAGAAAAAGACAGCGTGACAGTTTAGAGTCGTGGTTTTATTGTTGAACAATATTTTTAAAATAATGAAGATTTATCATCTACAACTCGCAATTTTGCACAAGATATAATGGGAATAGCGATTTAACTTAATCAACTGAGACAAGATTGCGAGATTGATCTCTGGCCATCCTTCAACAAGTCTTTCAATAAAAAACATCGAAGCAGTTCCTGAGAGTGTTATTGAAAATCAAGGAATATCAGTTTGACAGCGTGCTTAAAAATTAAGAATATCAAGACGCTCTGTAGAGCGTATTATAATGAAGGATTTACCTCCTTATTTATGCTTACAAAGTTCAATCGACTGCAGAATTGAAACCTACTGATCACGCACAGCCGAGATTATGGAACTGCTATAACTGGATGCTAATTTTTCACACAAAATCTTCAACGATAAAGCTCATTTTCATCTTAATGGCTTTATTAATCAATAAAATTGTCGCATTTGTGGTTTGGAAAATCGAAAATTGGTTGTTGAGAAACAAATTAACAAATCCATTCAGAACGTGTCACTGTTTGGTGTGGATTTTGGATTGGAGACATCATCGGAGTATTCTTTTTCATAAAGGCGGCTGATCAGGCAATAATAGTTTATGGTGCTCGTTGTCACAACCTAAACTTTACAAAAGGGATGCCGCCCAGATTTAACCTATAAGCTATCTAGCTCTATATGTCAACTAAACCCGCTGTTTTTAATCTAACATTGGAAATGATGTATAATTTGAGTAAAAAAAAAATGCGCTATGAAGGTCAATAAGAAATGAAGGACTAGGTTAGAGACATACCAGAAGCAGAAACAGGAGTGAAAAGTAGAGGTAGTATTAAGTATTAGATTACTACTCATATATAGTTAAAGATGTGGGATGTTTTAGTTTTAGGTAGATGTAAAGATTAGCATGGAATAGGAAAGACTGGAGGTGCGTGCCGTTTCAGTCTTGGAACTGATGACCCTTTCATGATAAAGAACATCAAAAATTATTTTTAAGCATTTTAAGCATAAAATAAATTAGCGGCGTAACAATACCCCTCCTGTATGATTACACAGTAAAAAGTTACCCCATTACAATAGACTGAACGAAACATAAAAAAAATGATTTTTATTCTATTAATATCCGCACATTATAAAAAACAGCATGTTTATTAGTTGGATCAAATTCACTTTCACTTATTTATCTGCACTGAAGTTTCACTACAAACTTTTTAGTTGCTATGTTTTTACCATTTTTATATTTTTCAAAAACGTAGGTATTTTAAGTATGCTCATGTTTTAATACTAAACTAAACGGGTTACTATTCCTTTGGGTTATAATTCTTTTTTTATTTAGTTGGCAATTTTTTTGGCTTAAACGATTCAGTGATGAGTGATGTCAAGACGATTCGAAATATAAACATTATTGTCGCAAAAACTGCTGGGAAATCTTTAGTAAAATGTTCTACTTTCATTCTGTAGGTGGTTGGTCTTTAATTTTAGTTATGATAGCTTTCATACCATTTTTTTATTTGAAATATTGAATTAAATTTAATTACATTAAGAAGATAACTAAATTTTTATGACAACGCAAAAATTACAATTTTCAATTCTAAATTTGCCGTAGAAATATTAGAATTTAGGTATTACGTAACTTGTAATAATCTCAATTTTGACATATTTCTTTAAAAATTATTTCAAGTTTCTTAATTATTACAATTTAATTTGTAATATCAACTAAAATACTTAGTAAATTTATTTCTGCTGGGATTTTATTTTTGCAAATTCGGGTCCAAATTGTAATTTTTATTATTTTCGCTTACGAAGCAACGAGCTGAAGAGATAAATTTTAAATATCGCTTCAATATTTAGGTAAATTTTCTTTTTTCTTTTTCTCAGCATAAAGATACCTTCGACGATTGAAGGTGAAGCGAAAATGTGACATTCTAAATTTCGTTTTTATTAACATAATTTGCGCACGTTTCTAGAAAATGTCGATGATTTTGAAATATTTCGGGTACCCTTCTAGGTTAATACATGATACATGGTAAAGTTGACGATATACTTTTTTATTAGCCAAGTATCTAATCTAAATAACGGTAGTGATTTTAATTACTTATCGTTAGTCGCCTGTGAGGAGAATGTTCAGCGTATTATTCTTTGTTGATTTTCTAGTGAAACTGAACAAAAACTATATTTAAAATTCCTCCGATTTCGAGGATGATTTCCATAATAAAATTTTTACCTGATCGCTGTTTTGAGACGTCAGTCATTGGACGAGGTGCTTTTTGTCAGATTCGTTTACCTTTTATGCACCGCCGTCGGTTCTAGTCTGCTTCTTTTTCATACAGTCCCCCGTATGTTACGCACGATTGCGTGGGTAAAATAAAATATTGGTTTTAACGGTTCGTTTTTCTGTTTCCTCTCAGTTATGATCTACTTGTTCGAACCGGCTCATCGAATTTGCAATTAATAGAATCAAATTTTACATAATTACCTTTTCAAACCGATTTCATTTAATGCTTCTTACAGTTTCAGTCATAAATTCAAGGAATTTGTTATTTATTAACTAATAACAATAATTACTCTCTGATAGCCTTTGCTTCAATTCAGGGCAGGCTTTTTAATTGATTGTGAGTGTTAAATTATAATTTTTTAAGACTTTACCTAGATTCTCAGACCCCCTTCCTGGAACACATTAATAAATAGCTCAACCTTCAACGCCAAAACACGATAGGTACTAAACGTCCGAGGTACTTTTGGACAACAAAGAGAAGTTTTCTCTTAAGTCCTTGAAGATGGTAACTAAACTTCATATTTTGATGTTGGGGTTTGAACTATTGTGTTCTGCAACAAAGCCGAAGTTTCCCCTCTTTAATATATCCTCTTTTTAATTTCTTTTTCCAAAGTTTCGTCAACCCACATAGATAGAATGTTCACGAGTTCGTGAGTGGACGAATTAATTTAGCGACTAACTTTAACCAGATCCCAGAAACGTTGCGAAGTACAATAAAAATTGGTAAAACCACTTGTGGAGAGTACATCGACTTTTCATATTTCAATTTGGCTCAATGTTTAAAATAATATTCCTTTTTAGGAATTTAGGAGTTGAAACCTATTTCGTAATTCGTAAATAATTCTAAAATGGTATTAATGATACTATTGTAATATTCTTACCTGAGGAACTAAAACTGGTAGCGTGATAACCCAAAATCGCAGCCATCTGAAATTATAAATTGAATCTCATTGTTATGCACATTTAGAAAAAATAAAGGTAACATTATTAGTCTTTTTAGAAAAATCAAGAGTATGAAATCTTTAGCTAATAAAAACTAAACATTAGACTACGTAAGATAAGTAAACTTATTATTGCCTCTTTCATGATGTCACAGAAGATATATCAGCTGGTAAAATGAATAGCTTAGGTTTTTAATATAAAATACCCCAAAACATGTGAAACAGTTCTGGACTGTTTCATTCGCATTCACAAAAATAATCCTTACGATTTTATAAGTACATATAGAAGATGCTTAAACTACTGAGTCGTTGTTGGTCGAGTCAAAAATCGACTCTGTTCAGTATTTGGCCATCTGGTGTAATTAATATGAGGGTCAAAATCGACCCTGTGCTTAGTTTCAAATATATACAAATTTCTATGTTATTGTTATATACATATCCAAATACATAATAGAACTAAAACTACTTTCTCTTTTGCTCGTTTTGTTGAAGTTTTCAAATAGAAAAATATAATTTTCCTTCACACTTTTAACAGGCAGCGTTATACTTACTGAAGTGATTCAAAATTATTTTTTGTTGAAACTGATGCGGATAAAATGAAGACAGAAAGAAAGTGAAAGATTATTTGTGGAATACGGAAGGAAAGCAAAGAGAAGTCCACACCAGAGCAGCAGGACTTCGAATCGAATAAACTATTATTAAGACCACACCGCCTACAGCTGGTAATTCATAAGTATCAATTATTATTTAGACTACCAACCCGAAAGTGGATTAAAGTGCTTCTTCCAGTTATGCGATATTAAAAGTTTCACGTCATTAATGGACAAAATCACAACTCTGAAACTAGCAAAAATGGTTTACTTCTTAGGGATGTTTTAGTTTCAGAGATTTTGAGATCATTTACCTTCTTGTTTCCGTTTCACAATTAATTAGGTACCTTTTCAATAATAACGTGCATAAATCTAAAGTCTAAATCTAAAATCAGAAAGTAAGGCATTCTCTCTTGAGAGTGAATTGCCACCCGAAAGAAGGAGAGGGCGACGAAATCCCGACAGATGCAGCTGTATATTCTTCCCGAGGCCTGTAAGCGATTTTTTTACTATACCCTCACCCGAAAGTAGGATTTTTCCTGATTTCAGGGACGTAATGTAGAAATCGAAAATCGATTATTGGAATAGGTGGACTCAATTTTTGTCAAATTTACCACAAATCTTTTATTCTGGTGAACCTGTAGATCGAATTAAGGTGTTGCTGATAGTAGTTTCTGAAAGAGTGGTTAGCATTGATTGTATGCATACACAACCCTTTGTTTCTACTACTTGGGATTGTGGTGGTATCACTCTTGTTTTGGATATTTCTGTGAGGCGAGCTGGCATAGATGGGTTGGTCTCGTACCTAACTAACTATGCCAATTAGCCCCACAGAGATATCTAAAAGAGTATTGATATTACACAATCCCAAACATCAGAAGCAAAAGATTATGAATACGTGTATGCATCAATCACTTTTACTCAAATAGCAACATTATGCATCAACTTTAGATATTCAAAACTTCCTACAAGCTAAATCACATAATTTTCTGATAACGAGGAACAGCAATAAGAAACTCAAATTTTCCATTTTGACCAGGGCTTAATGAGAAATAACACGGAGTAAAAAGAGCATATATTTTAATCATTTGGGCAAATGCTGGCAAGTTGTAATAATAACTTTATTTCATAGATGGTCTACCACTTGTCTCTATTTCGCTTGTCTCATCTTTCTCACCCTAACCGCTACCCACCCATTCTCATCTTAAAAGGAGGCAGGAATCCGTCCGCTCTACTCTCTGGAGTAGCCCGGAGGGACTGCCTCCCCATCGGCATTAGTAGCTGGTGGGAATGAATCACCGAGGGTTTTTTTCAAGCACGCTTTCTTTCTTGGACATACTAAGTTTTTTCTTTCTAGATTTAGTATCTGGTTATGCCCCGACATATTTTGTATTTAAATCAAGCACTTCTAATAAAAGTACGATCTCTGACTGAAAATATTGCAAAAACTCGTCTCATAACACGTCAATTTCTGTCACGAAACTTCGTAAAATTACGATCAAATTCCGTTTTTTCTCATAATGTAGTAAAAAAGAAGAAAGTGATACGTTTCCTTCCGACTAACTCATGTAGGACGACTTAAGTTCGTCAAAATAGCCCTATTGAGGGCACATATGAGCATACGAGTTACGTACATTAGCGTTTGTGAGATTTTGCCGCGAACCTTGTTTTGCCCCGGTCCCCTTAATGCGACTTCTTAACAGGGAGGGAATGTTGCGCATTCGTTCATGGAATCAGAAGAATATATCTTACTTTCTGTAGGAGTATGGTAAAAAAAAATAATAAAACAATGGGAATGGTGTATCTATTTTTCTTGAAACGTTCTATGAATGCAAACGAAAAGTCAACGCACTCTAGCGGGATCGAAACTTATTGCCATTACGCGCTTCATCTAGTGGAAGTAGATTGCATACCAATAAATAGTGTGTTGTAAGGTTTAATCAATTAATGCACGCTTGCAAGTATGACATACATGTACCTATTCTCCATTGAATTCGTTAGCTCATTATTTGCAGTTTTGTTTATCATTTTTGGTCGTTAGCAAGGAAAATTGTCTGATAAATGCTTTTCAGGATGTCCTTCACTGAAGTTACAATAAGGAATAAACATGTAGATGTTCACTCCAAAGATAAATTAGTGAAGCGCAAATAGTAATTAATAATACATTAGCTCATTTAGTATAAACTAAAGTATATTATGTGATGATATTAATGCAACAGAAATCTTTAAAATGCATTTTATCACATAAATTTAAATATAACATGTTTACTGAATATTATGTAAAAATGCATCTTACTTATTATATTTATTATTAACTGTATGTACTGCCTACGCCTCCCAACTCATTTATTATTAATATTTGATGGTAATTTATTCCGACAATTTATCGAAATCATTTTTATATTATTGTATTTCCTTAAAGCTTGCATTACAAAACCACTCATAATCTTTAAACTATTGAAAATTCCTGCTCGTAAAACTGAGACTTCTAGAATACAGTTATTATTGTATTAAACAGTTTGAATCAATTAACATATATGTATGTATGCGGACAGTTCTTTAGTTATCCTAAAAATATATACTGTTTTTTCATGTCCGTATAGCAAAGGTAGTATCCTAAGAATTAGGTTGGAAAAATTGTCCTAAAGACAAATCTCTTCGACTATCTCAATCATATGTTAACAAATTCGATAACTAACGCTGATATCGATTTTACAAAACAGCGAAGTCAGTGATATTCGTACGAGGAACAAAAAGATCTTATTGTAATTTTACAAGCTATAAGGTAGAATTTCATAGAATCGAACTGTGAAATTTGAATGTTATGTGTACACTGGTAATATTCTTTTAATCGTTTCTTTTTCCTCGTGCCCTTAATCGAAATAGAACAATAACATTCTTCATTAGAATATTGTTGAAACAGTAGTTCCTATAGAATACTGACCAATTGAAGACAAAGCAGTACCTAAATGGCATCTATAAATATTTGTCACTGATTAGGGGTTTATTAGTATTAGAAAAGGTCCGTTTTAATTAAGGATATTGACTATAATATAACATTGATTGACATAACAATGTTCTTGGTAGGCATTCTGTCGAAATTGTCAAACTTGAGAAGTGGATCTTGGCAAGTGAATATGCATCCGCAGGATAAGGAGAAGACTATACCTTTACAACTGGAAATGGTCTACGACAGTTCATCTGATGCCTTTAGGATTGTGGAATGCACCGGCTAGTACTATGGGACTTGGTGGTGTGTTATCCCAAGTACAAGATGGAAAAAGTCATCGGGCACTTTACACTCTCGAAACTAGAACGAAATTATTGTGTCACCCGTCGAGAGCTACTGACTGTGGTTAAAACAGGCGAACATTTCCACAATTACCTGTACGGACGGAAGTTCCTCTTAAGAACGGATTACGCCTCCCTGAAGTGGCTACAGCAATTCAAGAACTCAGAAGAATAGATTTTACAATAGTTACAACGACTTCAAGAATATCAGTTTGACATTGAGCATCGACCAGGCAAACAGCACGGCAACGCAGATGCACTTTCCCGGAGATCTTGCGTGGAAAACATTGTTCATCAGCGGATAAGAAGGAAGAGCTGGCATCGATCTGTTGTAATCTAACCATCGTTCAGCATGAGAAATCCTAGGATAAGGCATTAATCGAAGACCAGAGGAAGGACGAAGGTATTGGCCCAATAATGAGATGGAAAGAAGCCGGAACCTGAAGACCATTGTGGGCAGATGTAAGTCGCCTAAGTCAAGCAACGAAAAGTTATTGGGCGCAGTGGACTTCCCTAAACTTGGACCACTCAGTTTTGAAAAGAATATGGAAAAGTCCAGATGGAACCAGAAACAAGCTGCAAGTGGTACTTCCGAAGAAAAGAATTTGAGAAGTCTTAGAAGTAGAAGTCAAGTCAACTAGGGAAGATGCACGAGTAAGGGACCGAAGACAAGAAGTCGTGAACGAATGCAGCAGTACAACGCGGGATCACCATTTGAGAGAATCGCAGTCGACGTGGCAGGACTATTCCTAGTGCAGTACTACCATCTTGATAGTCATGAATTACTTTAGCATGTGAGCCGAAGCATATGCGATACCGAACCAGGAAGCGCACACCGTTGCTGAGAAGCTTATGAATGTCTGGAGTGGCCGACATGGAGTACCATTAGAATTACATTCCGACCAAGGCAGGAACTTCGAATCGGCTTTGTTCAAGAACATCGCTGTACTAATGGGCAATAATTGAACGATTTAACGCTACTCTGGAGACCAATTTAAGAAGCGTCGTCAACGAACACCAAACTGACTGGGACCGACACATACCACTGTTCCTCCTGGCTTATAGATCCGCCATCCATGAGATAACTGGAAGAACACCGGCCAGC